ACACACGTTTAAATTGTGTGCTTTCTGTTACTGTGACAGGATCTGAGCACTGCTATCCCAGGACCTCAGAGATCCTGTCTGAGAAACCTTGAAGAATTTTTAAGTTGTTGGATTTTTTGTCCTTTTATTTAGCATCAAGGTAACAAGTGAGCTGCGTGTGTGGTGAGTTTCACATCCTGGTCACTATGAGTCTTACTTTCTGGTCCTCTCTCATGTTAATGTTTGGGTTTTCAGAGCAGAAAGAAAATATTGAATGTGAAACTCACATATCCCCTGTGTCATCGCTATTGAAGTCATGGCACCTGTCACCTAGCACTTGTTAAGAGCTGAGCGTTGCCCTGTCCTCCTTTCTGCTATGACGTCTGTTTAGTCTGATGAGGTCACTGCAATGCACATCACTGAGGTCAGAATGTTGGGCTTTCCACTCTGTGTGGTGGCAACGCCAACTCGCCTGAGGTCATGGTAATACCGGTCATCAAAATCAGAAGGTTACAGTTTCCACTCTACATGGTGACATCACCTGAATGATGCTGGCCACTGCAGGGTGGAGGTGTGTGGCTGGCTGGTTCATAGGAGGAGAGGCCACATGAACTGATAAATCCTCTGTGGCTTTGCTGGGAACTTCCATGGGCCTGAAACTGGTGAGCAATTGAGTCAAAATGACTCCACTTTCTCATGACTATTTTTTTAAAGTGTTTTTTCTTCAGTTATCTTTGATACCGATTGATTCTCTGGGTTCATTCTCAATTTTTTTTTCAAAAGGTGAAAGCACTACCCAATATGAAATTAACTTTCAAGCTGAAGATTTCTTTCTTTTTAGGTGACTTTCCCTTATCCCATTGTAATAAGATCTATGAGGACAGGCCCACGCTAACACCCCAGAGTGTGCTGTAGCTTGAATTTGCAGTATCCCTAAGGGCTCTTATGACAAAGGCTTGGTGCTGTGGGAAGATGGTGGAACCTTTAAAAGGTGGGGCTTAGTGAGATAGATAAATAGGTATGGAACCTTTAAAAGGCAGGGCTTAATGGGATAGATAAGTAGGGGGTGGAACCTTTAAAAGGAGGGGCTTAGTGGGAGGTCTTAAATAATGGGATGCATTCAGCCTGAAGGGGACACAGGCAGGGGTGTGGTTATATATTTTTGTTGTTATTTTTATAAATAAAAGTCTGTAAAGGCCTGTGCAGTATTCTGTAAATATGATTGCCAGTCTGCAGGAAGATCACTGATTTAGGGTTCTGAAGGCATCATTTGTCGCCAAATATGTAGTTATTATTAAAAACAAAACTCTGATTCTGGGAGGGTTAACTTGAAATGTTCCAGCAAATGTATACACAGTATGCCACCAGGAGAGAGGAGCCGAGCAGCTCTCCCGGGACATCACCATCCATGCCTCCGTTGGGCTCAGTCTGTCGCCTGCCTCCTACTTTGGGGATTATGCTTCTTAACAAACTTTTGTTAATATTTATAAAGAAGATGTAATGCACCTTCAGTGTTTAAAAAAAAATCTAAATGAGCATCGCTAACCAAGTGGGGCTGTAGCTACCCGGGCATAATCTCTGTTTGGGGGTTGGCAAAGTTTGCAGAATAAATCTTATCTGACGCCACAGGCTGGCGGCACTGTTTATCTCGGACACCCCACCCTGTGCTTTTGGAATTCTTGATGCTGTGGTGCTGACTTCAGCAAACAAATTTCACAGCTTAGAACTAAATGGTTTCACAGAGATGCTGTAACTCCGTTTTGTTACAGCAGGACAGAATCAGGAAAGCAGACCATAAAAACCCTGTGGAGGCTAGCACTGCATACATCCCGCTGAACATTAACACAATAATGCCAGCCTAACTGGCAGTTGGGGATGAGTGGGGTTTTAAAAATTGGGGCTCCTTTGGTTCAGCGCTGCTCTGAGCCAGAGCATGGGTCATTTCAATTTCCTGTTCTATTGCAAAGTTGTGGAGGGACATGTGTTTAATGGCCCGTTTTTTACCCTGAAAGAACTCTAACAAGAACTGTACCAATGGAAGCTGATTTGATATTTTGGAAAGAGGAGTGTGCAGTTCAAGAAGATTGCAAAGATGGGTTCCTTTCCTAGGGAAACTGTTCACACTGGGATGGAACTGGGGCGTTTGGGTTTTGGCAGCTGGGACATTGGGCCCCCGAGGCTGCAAGTTGCTGCAGAGGCTGCCTTCTCTTCTCCCTTTTTCCAGAACAGCAGGAAGAAGTCTGTCCCTTGGGTAAATGAACCAGTAGTGCCTCCTGGCTCTGCCTTTGCAGTTTTGGTCTCAGCATGTGACCAGTGTGTTGGCTTCTTTTTATACTGGAATCTTGAAGAGTGTGTTGTAGTATCTGCAGACTGGGAGAGGAGGTATAGAAGAAGGGAGAGGGGAGTATGGAGGGAGTAGTGGAGGGAGAGGGCTAGTGTTTGCAAGTCTTTGCTTGGCAGTTTGAGGCATCCATAGATTGGGAAGTACCATTGCTTTTGAAGGTTGCTTCCCGTCCACAGCTTCTGAGGGACTCTTGAGGCATCTACTGGTCCTTCAGAGGAAAGCTGTCCCTGAGGGGTGTGTCATCCAGAACAGCAAGACCATCACACAGGCTCACCGTGGCCTCACAGCTGTCACTACAGCACATACATAGGCTTTTTCAAAGGAAGCCATTTACTTGGCATTTCCATATTTTGGTTATGAGCCAACTCAACCAGAGAGATTCTGTTTTGGTGGGTATTGATTTCTTGTAGAGAAATGATCAACTTCTCTGTTCTTTAGGATTTTAGTTATCTCTGCTAGATCAACAAATCCTTATTGGGCGTCTACTATAAGCGGCTGATCGATTGTAGGTGAGATGTAGTCTTATTGTCGTGAATTTCTACTCCAGAAGAAAAGTATGAGCTATAGGCCTGTGTAAGTCAGTGAACAATATTCTTCTTCCCAGGAGGTAATGGGGTCCTCAAATCTGTTAAATGGAGTCTATGATAGTGTTTACCCATGCCATGTGTGGATTAAGAAAGTTAATATGTGCCAGTTTGGAATAGTATCCATGTCATGCGAGGTTTGTAGATGCTGTAATTTATATCATGTTCACAGCTCTATAAAATGTGACTTTGATGAGCGAGGAAGCTGAGACTCAGGGTGGTATGTTCTGCTTACCCTTGACAAACCTCAGCCTTGCACTTTGAGTTATGTCTGCCTTGTAGCATTTTTTCTGTGTAGGGTCCTTCTGGGAGAGGGCACTCCTGTATGCACCAGTGATGTGTTACTAGACACTGTCCTCTTCAGTGTCTAAAGTACTCCATTTTAGTATGCTAAAATATTGACTGTAAAGTCAATGTCAAGGTGTACACCAGCACTGGGGACTCCCAATGCCAGACATACTTTGTGGAGAACTTTCTTTTTTTCTTCTATGTTTTCTCCTCCAAATCAGTAGAGTTCTGTTTTCTCTATCTGAAAATTTCAGCTATTGTCTTCCCCAAATACACCTTGTAGCCTACTTTAATGTCCTTGCCCCAGAAGCAATTATGCCCTGGGCCATGAAAGCACACATGCAAAGACTGGGTAAGGCAAGTGGAACCAGCAGGCATCATTTTAACTGACTGTCCCCTCTGGGCTGTGCCTATCCTCATCACTCCCGAGTATTGTTGTTTCCTAAGGCTTTGCTTTAAATCTGGAATTGCTCTGAGGTCTGTTGGCCTTGACCTTTTCACCTGTGAAAGGAGGCTGACAAAGTTGACCTCTTTGGCAGGTGCCTAAGCTTCAGATACGAGGACACATACAGTATTTATGACCGTTACTGTTTTGTGGCTATGGTGCCATGAGCAGTGATGCATCTGTCTGCCCTATCATATTTGAGTCCAAGCAGAATCTGGGTCCAGCGCATACCCGAGACTCTCCTCATGCCTGTCCTCACAGCCCCATTTTGGGACAGTAAACAACCAACTGAGTCAGATGAAGGGGTTAAGTTGCAATGATGACTTCCTTCCTTCCTTCCTTCCTTCCTTCCTTCCTTCCTTGTTTCTTCCCCATCAATTTTTGCCCCTTTGGAGCAGCCCCACCCCACCTCCTGCCCTGTTTCTTCTCATTTTATCAGTTGTACAAGTGAAACTGTAAATTTATGTAGAGGATTGTATCTTAGTTCCTACCTTTTCCCGTGAATTCAGAAAGATTAGGCTGTGGATCCTTGGGCAGCTGGCTGTGAGGGTAGAAAGGGGTCAAGTTACATGTCTTTGGAAGATCCCACTTCTGTTTATAGCACAGTGGTGCCTTCTCATCACTGGATGTCACTGGAATGTCAAGACTCATGGAGGGGAAACAATTCCTTCTTTCTGCTGTCTGCATCCCTAAGACCTCTCTTTCTCTCGCATCTTCCCTGTTCATCTTTCCTGATCATTCTGTGTTAAGGGTTTTTTCACTGTCAAGCATTTGTAACTACACCTTCACAGAGTATTCATTTGGATAGATTTAGGACAGATAAAGGTCTGAAAGTCTTTAGAAAAGGACCTAAGAGAAAAATTTAAATAATAGCATATGAGGCATTGTCATTGCTGTGTGATTTTCCTACTTTTCCTTCTACAGACCTCAAAAGACCAAGGTCCTTTTGTTTAGGGTCTCCCAGAAAGTGTAGGCTGGCTTTGAACTCAAGATCCTCCTGTTTCAGCTTCCCATTCAACTTCTGGGATTATAAGCATGTGTTAATCCTAAATTCTTTTTTTTTTTCTAAATTACATTTATTGTGTGTGTGTGTGTGTGTGTGTGTGTGTGTGTGTGTGTGTGTGTGTGTGCTGGTACATGTGTGCCAAGGTGTACAGAGGTGAGAAGACAAATTTGCAGAAATTTGTACTTTTCTTCCACCATGTGATTCGTGGGGGATGGAACTCAGGTTTGTCAGGCTTGGCAGCAATCACCTTTTTCCCATGGAGCCATTTCACCAGCCCTTAAATTCTTTGAAAGTAAAGAAGATATGAGCCTTTTGATTGAACTGGTGAGTCCTCAACTCTTTTCTGTTGTATAGAGATGGAACCCAGCCAGCCCCGGGGGAAGGCTCCTGAGAAAATAAAAGAACGAAAGCAACTTGGCCCCCAGAATCTGCGTGAGACAGGTGACCTTCGTGGGTAAGAACCCGTTGCTTCCAGTCGGTTTCGCTCTGCCTGCAGTCAGCTCTGGAACTTCCTCCGCTAATCGGACTGTGGTTGCAGGTGGCACCAGAATGGATGGAGAAGCTTGAGTCACAGCCCACCATGGTGGGCCCCTTCCAATAACCACCAGGCCCACCTGGAAGTGCAACTCCAGGTCTAGTGGAAGTGAAAGCTGTCACAGGAGCCACCCACGTCTATTTTGGGGGTTCCGCCTGAGTTCACCTCTCACCTATCTGAAGGGCTGGCTTAATGCGGTTTCCTTTCTACCTTTATAGAAATTGGCAGAGGCTTCTTCATGGTCTTACCGTTTGGCCCCAGAAGCTCTGGAGGCACTGCTATTATTCATCATTGCTATCCAGAACTGATATTTTGCTTCAGGTCTTAGGGCCACTGTTAGAATGTCAACCAGTCCTGTCTTACTGCCTGGGTGTGGCCTGAGTCTCAGGCTCTTGGGAGTTTCAGAGATTAGGAATTCTGACCAAATAGGATCCTGCTCATGGAACAAATCTTCCCTGCTTCCCAGTGCTCCACGGTAATTACTGCCCCCCTTTGTCTCCTCTGTCCTTCAGGAAGGGCAAAGCTACAGCTAAAGCAGCTGGAAGGTGATTGGAATATTTAATGTGGCTTCTATTTCTGGTTTTCTGACTTTTCTTGCCTGAGGTACAGTGAGAATGTAATACAAAATTTGATTAGAGGAAAACCAGTGTAACCGGTTCAGCCACTTGAGATAAAAATGTGGTAATATCGCTTTTATATTTCTAATAAATGTATTCCACTCGCATATGCCCTTACAGAGCAACCCTCTTGAAGGTCTTCTATGATGCGAACGCACACTTGTGGAGGGGAGTTGGTCACTCAGCCCAAAGCTTCACTCAATTTTCAGATTCAGCCATTACAGGGAAGTAGCTCAGTGCCCCTCTGTTGTAGTTGTACTTCACTCCTGCTGGGTGTCACTCTTGGAGACAAATGGCCCTGCACAGCTCCGTGGTGGCCTGTGCACCTGTGGCTGGGATTCTGGGTTCTTCACCTCTGCAGAGACAGATGACAACTGATGACAGGTGACTGACTACTCCAAGATATGGTTCTCTCAGGTCCCACAGATAGGCTTCCCGAGTTTTACCTGGGACAGGGCACAGCACTGGGAGGCATTCAGAAGAAGTACCAGGATAAACTGTGCTATAGCATTCCAACCCAGGAATGTTTGAGCTCTGCCACAGTGAGCTCCAGGCTTTGGATTGAGCCCAAGTCAACACAAGACCCTCAGTGAGTGTATAGTGACTTTTAGCTAGGCTTCTTGTCCCTCTGATGGACCTTCATTCCCCATGTCTGCATCTGTCTTTCCTCAACCTCTTTTATGGTTTGTGAAGCTCTTTTTCATTGACCACTTTTTTCATACCAAGAGAGAGGCTGTTTGCTTATATTCAATGCAAAATGTTCATTGGATCTGGGAGGGCTCTCCAGGGACTCGTCCCTGAACAAAGAAGAGATGTTTGACATGATAGGGTGTCTCTCCCCTGACAAGGTGTGTGGCTGTGACTGCAAATAGGGGAGTAGGTGGCAAACAGTTTTACACATTCAGTTCTGGGAAATTCAAAGTCCATAGATTGAGATTTGCATGCCACATTGGTCTTGCTCTGCCTGCAGACTATTCAAGGCCAAAACTGTTCAGCCTTCATTTGCTGGCAAGTTGACTTACATCTCTAAAATTCCAAAGTTGGTTTCTGTTGTTGAAGTCATTCTTTTTCCTAATGATTCAAAACTTGAAGGAATATTTTAAAATTATATTTGAAATTTAATAATTAAATGCTGACATATTTAGGTTAAAGGACAGTTTTTGAAAAGATTAAAGTCATGATTCATATAAATAGGAAAGGATGCATATAAATAAAAAGCTAAGCTTTAACTCAAAGAACCAATGAGAGGCTGAGACAAATTCAAAAAAGAATCCAACACACACACACACACACACACACACACACACACACACACACAGAGTCAGAACCATTACAGGGAATTTACAACTGCTCAAAAGCCAGAGAATATCACCCCAAACATTATAATTTGCATTTCTATGGACATGAATCAGGTATTTTTTAAATTAAATTTTCTCTAACTTACAGGTGTAAAATGATTAAAATATTTAAATGTAAGGCATGTGAGTGATAACTTGGACAACTTAGGCAAGACACAGGTTAGTTTTTGTCTATTTGGAGTCGGACATATTTCCACAGATACTCATTTGGTTCTGAGCTCACATGAGGGACGATGGATGCTGGGCAGGCTGTGTCACAAGGATGGCAATTACACAGAATCAGAGACATTTGCTTCACGTTATTCTTAGGACCACATTGTGTATGCTCTGTTCCTCATTTTTCATACAGAGTTGTTGAAAGAGCCCAGACTTAAGAGCAGAGCTGTGTTCTCAGTGTGTGACTGACTTGGAAGCTTTTGCAGAGCCCCTCCTGTCTGAGCTTCAGTTCGCCCTGGGAAATACAGGTCATGTGTTATTGTATGTTATGGCCTGCACCATGTCTCTGTATCATGGGTTAAAGGAGATCTCTCCTGATTGCCAAGAAGCCTCACATTTGCAAATCTGTCTTTCACTTCAGAGTTAACAGGACATTACCCTGTTCCTCTGAAATGCTTTCTCCACTATACTCATGCACTCACTGCCCCCACCATCTATTAGGAATCTTCATCTAGAGTCCCAGAGTTTGTGACTGTCCTTATCCTTCACACCAGCTATAAACCCAGCTCTTATATTAGCTTCAGTTTCAACGTGTCTACCCAGCTCAGAGTTTCCGATGTCACTACCCTGGGCCACGCCACTGCAGCTCTTTCTTGCTTTGCTCTCAGTGTCTCTTGAGCTCAGGCAGTCTTCCTATACCCAGTCTTGCCCTCCAAACTTTCTTCAGAAATATCCAGAGTGACCTTTTAAAAAATGCATGTCGAAGTGTAATATCCTTTTACTTAAAGCTGTCAATGGGTTTGCATTGCAATGCTAAAAACCTCAACGTCTCCCTGTGCCCTGAAATGGCTGTGTGATATGTGTCTGGCTTCCCTCTCTAAGACTGTGCCCTCCAGCGTAGAGATCCCCTGACTTTAACCCCTGAGGTTTTTCTGTTCCTGAGGAGACTATACTTACTCCCGCCTTAGTGCAGGGACACTGGACTTGTTATACTCTTAGCCTAGAGTGTGCTTTCTGGAGATTGGCATCTCAACTCAATGTTCATCTTTTCAGAGGCCTCTCTTGACCTCTGTTGGGAGTTTATCCTACTTTATCTCCCTTTCTTCGATTTTTTCCCCATGTTTTATCTCACCATCTCTGATGCATCTCTTTTTGTTTATTTCCTATACCTCAGCCCTTTCTCATCTCCACCTTTAGTCTCTCCCCTGTGTTTCCTGTTTTCTTTCCTTTTCTTATTTAGCAGACCACACCACATATCCATCCAACTGTGCCTGCCCACTGCTTGAGCCTATTACTGAGATAATTTTATATGCCCCATTCTTGATTTCAAAGGCAATGGACATGCTTATTTATATTTATTTATCTCTAAAAAGACACATACACACATCCAGCCAAGATCAATTGATGTCATCTTATTCACAGATCTGACTGCATGTATACACAAGCCCATGGTTCCCAGGGGAAGAATGATGGCAAAGAATCTCTTTTGCTGTGCTAGATATGTACTTTGCATTCATCCTTAAATCAAGAAACCCTGTTGCCAATCTCTTCTGCAATTAGAAAAGCAGAACAGGTGTTTTTGTAAGAATGAGCTGTAATATAACCGTGAATTCTTCCATGTGGCCTATTTCCCTTTGTTCATATCCACGGTGACAAGTTTTCTTCTATAGTTTTCATCTTCTCCCTTAGGAAGATAAAACAGCCCTTCATGATACTTATTAATTTTAGAATTGTTAAGCAATTAGGAAAACCAGGTGTGATAAATATAGAAGTCATTAAAAAGTTCACAGAACAGTTTGACTTTGGAAGAACTTAGTGCTTAAAATGTTTCATTCTAACCATGAGAAGTTCAACGGATCCAGATGACAGAAAATGAAAATGGGCAATAAAGAAAGATGGAATGTGTGAATGGGGAAAGTCGCCCCTACACGGATAACACAAACCGTGGCTTAGTTTCCATTGGGGGTGTTATGTTTTGGGTGTAAAATGTCCCTCACGGGCTTTTGTGTTTAGCTTGGTTCCCAGCTGGCTGCTATTTGGGCAGGTTATGGAACCTGTGGGAAGTGGAAGCTAACTAGAGGAAGTGGCTCTTGGAGAGGCGGGCCTTGAGCTCTACAGCTGAGCTCACTTCCTGACCTCCTGTGCTGCTGATAGGCAGTGAATAAATAGTCTCAGCCTCCTGCTTCCCTGTCTTCTCCACTGTGATGGACTGTGCCCTCAAACAATGTGCGAGTCCAAGATGGCTTCTGTAGCAGATGGATTTCTCTTTTAGAAAACACTGGAGGGTCATGTGGGAACTGGTGGAGCCCAAATATTGAAGTGATTTAGGCCAAAGATCACATAGTCAATCTGGGTTGGCCTTCAGGTGTGTGCTGCATGCATCCTGCCACCCCTGTGTTCACTCTCAAATATGTAGGACCAGTCTTAAACATGCAGGAGAGAAGTATAGAGACAGTGCTTGGGTAGTGAAGGGCACCTGCCTGTCAATCAAAGTCCACAGAGCCAAGTTGTATTCTTGCTCATGTAACCTGCAACCCCAGCAAAGGGGATAATTCCAAGGACTGTGTAGTGCTTTTACATGGATTGCATTAAATACTGCACAAGGCATGCCTGGCACAACTGAGGTAGAATGCAGAGTATGTATCCAATGGCCAGATGTACGTGATGGTCTTACAGTGTTACCTGTTTTCTCATTTTCTTAGCAAATACTGTCCTTATTCATCAGAAAATTCAAGAGTATTTATTGACTGGGCCCACTGGTAACCAGAGGCTTCTCCAGACAGGATTAAGAAGATGGGAGTGGTACCCTACTCCAGCCCTTTCATGAATGGCAGGGATGCTTTTGAGTTGTTTCATCTTCCATCCCTGTTGCATGGATACCCTGAGGATGCCCAGGAGAGTGGCTCTTGACAGGAGTGATGGGGATGTCCTTCTGAATATGTTTCTCTTATTGGTTGATGAATAAAACACTGATTGTCCAGTAGTCAGGCAGGAAGTGTAGGCGGGGCTAGGAGACAAGGAGAATTCTGGGGAGAGAAGAGAGAGAGAAGCTGCCAGGGAGAGACACCATGTAGTCGCTGAAGGAGTAACATGCTGGAGCCTTCTCTGGTAAGATAAGGCCATGTAGAAATATGTAGATTAGTAGTTATGGGTTAATAGAGAGCTAGCTAGTAGGAAGCCTAAGCCATGGGCCAAACAGTTTCTAATTAATAAAAGTCTCTGTATTTATTGGGGTCTGAAGGGAGGCAGGACCAGGCAGAACAGAAACTTTCATCTACACAGGAGGAGTTTCCAATGCCCGTTCTAAGGGCTTCCTGTCGAAGATCTATTTATGGCATGAAGGCAATTTGTAATTTCTTCCGAACATTATTAAGAATGAGTAGGTCATGTGATCTGGTGGCTCAATCAGATCTGTGTGGATTTCTTGTAGAATTGGCAAAAATAATTCAATTCTATCACAAGCCATTCTCCACCCTACTTCCAGATTTCCCTGAGAGTGTCAACTGAAAGCTCATTCCCTCAAGAGGAGGGTCTGTGGGATGCTCTGTTCATGAGGATGTTATAATTAAACAATTTGTGGAAAACA